TAAGAAAAGACAGAACTATCAAATTGGGGATTTTTTTTAGAGAAAGTTTACTTTAAAGAGAAAGTTTTCTTTATTCAAAAAAGTTAGTGTCTAATGGCCCCTTTCCATGGTACCTACTCAGCCCGACTGTTCGGTCCAGCTCTGTTCGGTATTTAATAAAGCAGGTGAGCAGCCTAGCATGCTAGTCACTTGCCTCTCCAATGTTAATGAATACAGTAGTCTCCTTCTCATTTGCCAGCACTAGCCTCTCAGTTAGCGGTGCTAGCCTATCATTAATCAGATCAATAGCTGCCTTAGGAATAGATATAGCCTTCTGCTACAAGGATGTAGCAGCTGTTGGTTGTACAATAGTCTTCATTTTGGCCCTCATCCTGCACCATAAGAGAAAAGATGAAGATGTAACGTTTTAAAGATCCTCAGAATCCAGTCCAGAAAGCACCGACACCAGTTCTTGGTTTTAGTCAAAACGGTAACTGCTGGTTTCCAACAGGTCCCACAGGATGAAACGTTATCCTGACTTTAGTGATCTAATCCTGACTTCTGTTCCTCAACCAGAGAGCTTTCACTGGTCCTGTGAAATACCTCAACATCTGCCTGATAGATCAGGAGCAACAAACAAGAGTCCTGCATGAGTCCCAGATGGATGATGTTAAATTAATCTGATGATTCACATCTGTGGTTCTGAAAGGAAGGATTCAACTATAAAACCATCAGATTTAAGTCAGAAATTTATAGCGCCATTAAAACTGTAAAAAAAACAGAGAATTGTTAAATGTTTCTGTAAAACTAAAAAAAACTAGCATGAAGACAAATAACGTTTACAAGAAACAACAGAAACAAAAAGGCGAAACCTAACATTTGTTAAAAACTTGAAAGTAAATTTCTCACGATCCCAATTAAATATAAATAAAAGAAACTGGATTATTTAAGATTATTTTTTATAGGATTTTTTTCCCCACAAATATTAAAAACTCACATTAGCCTGAACAGTTCAGGTTTCAGATCTAAAAGATAAAAGATGTAAACCTGCCTCCAGATATGAGTGTGAGTTCTACCTGTTTGAATGGGTTTAACTGCAGCTTTTATCGACGTGCACACAGGAAACACGTGCACTTTGTGAGGAGAACGTGTGTTTGCTTTAAAGCTTGGAGGCCTCACCTCTCCCACAGGCTGCACACGTTGGGGTCTCTGGGGTCCAGGCAGCAGCTCAGAGCGATCAGGAAGCCAAGAAGCTGCAGAGCAGCAGAGCAGCTGGAAGCCTGCATGGTCCTGAGGCAGGGGAGAGAGGGAGACTTACAGACGACTTATAGCTTTTCTGTGGAAATCTGCTTTATTTGGAGTTTTTACACACGTCTGAGCAGCTTTACAAACAGCTCTAACTTTGATGCAAACAACTGCAGTCATTGTTTTTGGTTTTAATTGACTTTAATTATAAATCTGTTGGGTGGAAAGCTTTTGTTTCCCAACAATGTGCAGATTTAAAGTCTGACTATAAAAAGTTCATTAAGTGCTCAGCAACAGCGAGGTGAAGCTACATGATAAAGCTGTCTGCGACTCTGACTGAACACTGCAGAAAACCCAACATCAGCCGAAGCTCAGCTGAAGCTCAGCCGAAGCTCTGACAGCAGGCAGCAGATCCGAGGCTCACAGTGAATACGAGACCGCAAGAAAGGATCAGACTCTAGAAACGTGAGTCCAGACTCCATGTATCAGAGCGGAGGAGCCTCCTCTGCTGTCCCCCGTCCGCACTCCAACATCTGGATCTGATCAGAGAGCCAGCCAACCACAACGTCCCAGATCAGGGACACGCTTAGGCTCTCAGGGAGCAGCCGGGAGAGGACTTCTTCCAGCATCTCATCCCTTAAAATATCTGTTCAAATGAGCCTGGTCGTGTGATCGCTCTGATAAAACGAGACATCGTCTCATCGGACTCCAGGGGACTCCGGGGATCACTGACATGTTGGGACAAGGACCCGAGTCAGGACCATCCAAAGTCCCAAACACCTCAGATGAAGCATCAATCCTTCTATAACAGTTTTTAAGCAGCAGTTTCCAGAATACCACTCCGTCGTCCAATCATGCTCTCTTTCTGCTTATTTCTGCTTTTTCCTCTTGAGGTTTTGTCTTTCTTCCACTTCTCAGGCTCATATTTGTATTTTAATATACGTACAATTATCAGCAAATATTCTGAGGTGGTTTTTCAGAACCGCATCAGCTTCATGATGATTTTCACATTTCCACCTGGAGAAAATATCACATTTCTGAAGAAACAACCTCCACATCCTGCAGGCTTACACTGAGTTGTGTTCAGCTCCTCTAGTTTAGTTTCTTTGACTTGAATCATGCTTTTAACTTGTAGTGAACTCCTGGTTTCTCCTCCCTCAGCTGTGTCCACTCACTCAATCACTCATTCAGTTTCAGGTTAAATAACTTCTTGACTTCTTCATTGGAAGAAATGACCCTGAATATAAAAACCATCACAGCAAATTCTGCTGATTTCAGCCTTTTTATGTTTGTATTTGTTGGTCTTGGCCTCAGTCTGGACATGTCCTGGTCCTGGTTCAGGTTTTCTTGATTGTGTTTAGTTAAGAGAAACTAAATGACTGGACTAAAATTAGAAGTTTGGAGTGTGCTGGTAGTTTCAGCTCCGGCTCCGTCATGTCGTCTGTTAACGGCGCAGAAACATTTTTCACACATGTATTTACAGATCAAGTCACCGTTCTCAGGAAATCATGTGAAATTTTCAGAAATGAGAAGATTTGTCTGTGGCTCGATGAATAATACATGTTTTAACTGTGCCAAGGGTCGTGGTTCAGTTCCCATCAGAACCACTTCAAGTCATTTTACAGAATCAGGTCTTTAAACACTTTACAGGAAAAAAACACCATGAATAATTCTTTGATGCTTCTATAAGAGCTGAAGGCTCTAAAATGGATGCATCATACAAGAAGCTTAATTAAATCTTTGTTACACTGATTTATTTTTTTTAAATAAGTGAGATTATGTGGAGAACTTGTGCGTAGTTAGTGGTTCTGTTCAGATAGATTTCAGTAAATTTATGGTGGATTTTTTACAGTATCTTACAGTATTTCATAATAACAGTGAAATACTGTGAAATAACTACACATAATGTTAATTTACAGTTAATTTAGTAGATTAGGCAGTAATAGTAAATAACTGTATATTTACCAGCATAATACAGTATTCTTTTTCAAAATGTGGGAAAAAACAGTTCCTTACAAGTCCTGCCATTATCTGTTAGAACCTTTTCAAATGCTGTTGGTTGGTTCTGATAATCAGTCAAATCAGGATTAACTTGTGAGCGACAGGATTTATTTGTGATCTTGTCTTTGGAGAATGTTATTCTGCTTCAGTCTACAAGTTCAGAAGGTGAGATTATGCTTCTTATTTTGTTTATGAATTGTAGTTGATTTATTGGGGGGGTACAGTTACAGTACTGAAAGTACTAATTCAACTACTGTAGTACCTACAAGTTAAATAGCTCAGTTACTCATTAAGCTACTTTATATTTTTATACTTTGTCAGTGACACTGTGCTGCTCTTTTGTTCTTTGTTTTAATGGTCCTGATCCTTAATGTGGACAGTAATGAAATGCTGCAGTCCAGACATTTTTAAGTGTTAGTGCTCTCTTTCTTCATTTTACTTTTCTTGTCATTAACATTTGTCTGTGCAAAAAAACTTGTGTCCAAGCTAGACTGTGATGTATTTCTGTAAACTGTTGTTGAATCTGTGTTATTGCTGTTGTCACGTTGTTGCTGCCATTTTACCTGAAATTTATACGATTTTTATTCAGCAACTGAGGTTAGAATCATAATTTCCCGAACGTTGACATTAAGAAATTTTGTTCGGTGAATTGAAAAAAAAAAACATTTGAATGAATCTGTCATCTTGTTTATTTTGTAAATTTGGATAAAATCATGAGAATTTGCAGATTTATTTTATTTTGTAAACTGATATGCACATCCTGTAAATTACATCAAAACTAGTATTTTACACTAATCATAGAGTATTATACTGTTAAATTAAATTACAGTACATGTAAATAACAGCCCAGTGTGGGTATCTTTCATAACAGTAATTTACTGTTATTTTACAGTTAATTTACTGTAATCCAATTTACAATAATATACTGTTGAAATAAATTACAGTCCCTGCACTGTAACAATCTGTAAATTACTGGCGTCCCTGCTGCCAGTAATTTACAGTTTTTTAACAGTAAAATTCATTACAGTGTTGTCTGATCAAATCACAAAAGTTCTGCAGGTCCACATCCAGCTATAAAATCTGTCCTGAGTTAGCTCAGGAGTTAACATAAGAGTTAGCTCAGGAGTTAACATAAGAGTTAGCTCAGGAGTTAACATAAGAGTTAGCTCAGGAGTTAACATAAGAGTTAGCTCAGGAGTTAACATAAGAG